TTTTCTAGTTTCTATTTTTTTTTGGGGGGAGGGGGGGATTGGATAATGCAATATAGCCATTATGTTTGCTTTTCAACCTGACTAGTCAAATGTGATATAAATTTTAAATATAAATGATAATCCATCTTTTATTAGTTTTTTATCTGCTATGAGCTGGAAAAGTAATATGCTTATTTACAGATCTTTCAAAGTAAGACTGGCCTATAAAAGACCAGAAACAAGTGCAAGGTAGTTAAGCTGGTGAGAATGTTTGTTTTCAGTAAGGCATCATCATGTCATTCAGTCAATCCAGAAATTTTTCAAAAACAATTTTAATAATCTTTACTTGCCATGTATGGTATATCTTCTTTAGTGATGAGTTTGTTTCAAGTCATTTAGATTTCTTTCTCTTCCGTTCACCAAGGTAAGGTATTCAGGAGTTAGATTTCAAAATATTTTGTTGTATGAACTCATTCCTACACTGAATTCATTCGGACAGAATGATATAGCCAGAGATCATTAAAGATTCAAGACATTTTAACATGCTTTTCTGGTGAATTCCATTCATTTTTGTTGTTTGTGTATTTGTTACTATTACTATTTGCATTTATATTTTAAAGTCTTTTTTTGGTATATAAAGCGCTGCAGTGTGGATTCATTTAATGAATTTCAGACTTATGTTCTATGTTATGTTTCATCTCAGTTGATTGGCTCTAATGTGCTCTAATACTTCCCCTGTGCCATTGCATGAGGTCTGAACTTTAATAAACCAGTTCTGTCTGACATAGACCTTCTTTCACTGTTACAACTCTAACATAGTTCAACATTTGTACTGAACTAATTTAAGTGTAATTGAAAAGAAAGGTAATTTTAACTACCCTTGCTAACAGTACCTGCTGTAGTTCACACAAACTTTTAAACAGTGTAACACTGAATTGTGGTCACAATGCACTAAAAATAGTTTGGGCTTGTAGTTAGGAAATTTCTGCTGTTAGATATGTTACTTTATATCTGTGCTGTTGCAAAGAGAAGTAACATTGTCTTTGCAAATAAATAATCACTTTTTATCTTTCTAGTGATACCATTTGTTATTTAGTTGAATGATAGCCTGAAAGAACCTCAGAGAAGCATTAGAGTTTAGGAAGAGAAGTAAATGCTGGAGTTTGTCTCTATAAGAGAAATCATGCTTTGTAAACAAATATTGCATTTGCTTCATTTGCTTCTTCTATTTTATGATATGAATTCCCCTTCTCTTTGCTTTTTTGCTTCCTTTCATTTACCAAGTTTCTTCTGTTTTGATGTGGTTCTTGAGCTGCATCACATAGCACAGAAAGTACCAGTAACATTGATGAACATAGGGACACATTGCTACCTAATAACAAACAGATCTGAGAGAGCTGGGAAAATGAGGAGTAAGGGATCTTGGTTAAAGGTCAGGGCAAGGAGGAGCACCTGCTGTACTGAGCAGAGGTGATGTGCCCTACTGGATGGATGGAACTGCAGCAACGAAGACCTGAATTTCTATGGGAACAACTTGAACAACAGTTTTGTTTTTTGATAGGAAAAGGCAGGAGAAGAACAGGTGGTGATAGAGTGGAAGGAGTCGATCTCACAATATATGTTGAATCTTAAATTACAGGGAAGATTTGAATGGTGTCTGCTCATACCGTTGAATGTGTGACTTTCGACACTGAGGAGCACTTACACTGCAACTTTTTTTTGTTTGCAAAACAAAGTTGTCTTGCTATTCCTCTATTATTAATTAAAAATAAACAATGCAGTGACAGAATTGGTTGCTTCTCGGACACTATTTCAGTTGTTCTTTCTAGTTTTGAAATAGCTATCTCCAACTAAATAGTTATTTTTCTCTTAAAATATTTTTCTCAGTGTGAATCTCACTTCTCTTCTACTATTGTTTTAAAATACGTAACTGTGAGCATAGATGCTGAAGTTTGTTGTCATCACTCCATGCTATATTTTCTGTAGATAAAATGAAGTCATTGTGGATTAATTGGTATTTTACTTAAACTGTAATTTTTTATCTGATTAAGGTTTTAATTTCTAGAAAATTGGATGTATCCTCAAAGTAGGTCTGAGCCAGCTGAATAGGTTTTTGACAGAGATGGTAATATAACTTAAATATAGTTTAAATAATAATTGAAGTCTAGATAAGGCTTATCTGTTTTTAATTTAAAAAACAGCTTTTGCTTGTTTTATGATTAAGGGGGAATTGTAGGTCTGATTTTTAGTAACGCAATGATTCGAAGATCAGATTAAGTTAGGGAAGCTACTTGTGTTTTGGAGGTGTTGTGGCCCAAAAGATTGGTTTTGGTTTTTTTTTTTTTTTTTTTTTTAAGGACTGGCAAATTCTCACCCTTACACATATATTCCTTAGTCCAAAAAAGTTCATTCACATTACCAAGAGCAACATATTCTTCAGAACAGTTTGAATTGCTCTCTGTGTTGTAGATGTCAATACAGGGATGTTCAGTTTGTCTGTAGCTTCCATGATGCTATTACCTTTTAGTTGTTTCATCTAGTAACAAAATGTCATTCCACTTGGGACAAAACAAATGAACACAAAAATATATCAGAATAATGCTAAGAGGTTTTTTTCCTAGGTAGAACTATGATTTTGGGTCTAATAGCTGATTTATTCTCTGTATTAAACACAATGTCCTTTCTTTATATTGCTTTTTTATTATTTTCATGGATAAACACCTTGTTGTAATGCATGATCTTCCTCAAGTCAGTGCTAAGCATAGATTTTGGTCTATTTGGGAAATGCTATTTTTTTCTAGTCTTCATTCTTTTCTTCCCAGTTAATGATTCTACTTCCTAGTTTAACCACTGTATGTTGCCAGTGGACCAAAATATGGACTTTGCCATCTATCTCTCTGCCCAGCTACTCCCATGAAATTCTGCTTTTCCATAAAGTTCCCCTGAAGTAAGAACTGACTCAGCATTCATTAGCTGAGGCAGAGTATTTATGTATGAAAATATCCGCAAGTTAACTAGTTCATATTTGTTGTAGCTCACCTCACTAGATGACTCAAGGGGCAATTTAGTGCTTTGGCTAAGTTGATGCATTTGCAAAATGCTACCGTAAGTGTTGTTCCCTACTGCTTGTGTGGAGAATAAGTTAGAGATATCTCTGAAGGAAGATTGTTCTTTAGTTATTTCTATATGCAGAAGCACAGTGGGGTGCATCTACCAGTGTGGCTCCCTGTGGCTGCGTGATTGCTCAGTTCTAGTCCAAGGAAGCTGCAGTTGTGTGCAGCTGGAGACAAGGAGAACAAGAAGTGAAGCCACACTTTTTAGCAGTACCAACCTTGTCAATGTCAAAATCAGGCAGTGAGTTAAGACAAAAATTAAGGAAGGAAAAAGAAGGCAGAATTTTTGAAGAGTTTTCCAAGAAACTTGAAAATAGTCTTGTTGCTTCATAGATACACAACAGAAGTAATAACTGAAGGTGTTCTACCTGTCCTACCCTTTCTGGTATCTGCACAGGCTGCTGGATGCTACATAACTACCGGGTGCTGGTAAACAGAATTAAGAAGCTCACCTGATGGAGATCTTCCTCTCTGTGAGACTCTCTCTTCAAGGATTGAGCATACATGTACTCACGGGCATGAAGTAAATGGAAACTTACTGTTTTACTCAGAAGAAATAGAAATGTTGACACTATTTAAAAAATACTATAATTAGATGAAATGCTTTAAAATTTAGCTCAAAATCTGCAGAAATTACTATTTGTTGGTAGGATATGATGTTTTAGGTAAATGCCACTTGCTGCTTAGATCAGAATATGGTGATATGGATTCATGATAAAGTTATTGGTGCTGTTTTATATCTGACTTGATACATGCTACAACCTGATACAGTATTTGTGTATTGAAAAAATACATAAAACAAAAATCTGTGACATGGTAATGTGGCAGCTTCCTTTACTTATTGTTGCCTGAGGTTTAAGGCTGATTATTTCAAAATGATGGAAGCTTCTGATGTACTGTTTTTAAAGAGAGTCTGTGATTATTGAAACTTTCAACGAAGGGAAGACTTAGTAGGTGCTCACTAGCTTTGTGTGCTGCAGGATTTGCTGTTGAGCTTAAGTTCTTTTCCTGATGCTTATGCATTTCCCAGTGACTTCAGAATTCCCCACTTAAGTTATGATTGCAGAATTCCTCCTTCGTAAAAAGCCAATTACATTCTCAAAGTAAACTAACTTTTATAAAAATAAAAAATAAAAAACACGACATATATATCAAAGGAATGTAAGTAAATTCAATCTTTAGTAAGAAAATATGATGCAATGTGTAGAAAAAGAAATAACAAGGCTCAGAAAACCTGCTTGTAGGAATATGATTACACTGTTGCTTTTTGAATCAAAACAGATTCATACCTTATTTGATGGGTCTATTCTGGGTATACTAACCAAGTAAACGTGCTTTTTTTCTTGCAACTTCTGGTGTCAGAACAGCTTGACTGATGACCATGAGAAGTAAATTTTCATCTTTTTCATTTTTATTTTTTTCCTGCTATGCAATAAGTAGCAAGATCTGATTACACTGTGGTGATGTTATGGTGCTGTTTGTGTTGAGCTGAAAAGCAACATACATGCTTGAGTGATTTCTTTTAACCAGGTGTATAACAGCAAGTTAACTTTTAACAGAGAAGGCAGTAGGTTTCAGCACTGAGGAGTAAGTTAACTTTCAACAGAGAAAGCAGTAGGTTTCAGCACTGAACAGTAAATACTCTTTGAGCTGGGTGTTTTATTGAACATCTTGTGACCTTATGGAAGAGAACCCTAGAGATAGCTGTGATGTATAGGAGAAAGATTGACTCAAATACGAGTTTTAGCAATATGCTTTCTGTGATGTTTTTAAGGTAAAATGTGTATCAGAGAAAACAAAACAAAAAGAAAAACCAACAAAAATGAGGCTATGCTACTGTGGGTTTGTTATTTGTCATGTTAAATTTGCCATAACCAAGTTTGACAGGCTTTTTTTTTTTTCCAACAGACAATGTTATTGTTGAAGATTACTCAGATGCCTTCTGTCCATTTTCTGCCTCACATGCTATGTCATGAAAGCTTTGATACACTTAGTACATAATTTAAATGAATGACTACTCTGGCAAGCATAATGGAAGGCACGCATACTGTCCTTCAATTGCACAAACCCATAATGGAGGTTTGTTACATCAGCTTCTATCTTCCAGAGGGAAAAGTCAGAGGATTTACTTACAGGGGCTGTGTGACTCTGGATAGAACCAGTAAACGTTTCTGTAATTGCTATAAAGTACAGGAGAGATTGCAGATGAGAGAACAGCCACATGAAAATTTCAGAGATATTATTTTCAAGCAAACTACAACAAAAGACATTCTCACTGAGCTGTACAGACTAACTGCTGAAAAGGAAAAACTGTTATCCAATCTTTTGAGATCGCATCACATTCTGGGCCTCAATACGGGACATCAGGAGGAAAAGAAACAGGCTGTTTCTGGAGTCACAAAACTTAAATGTGATGATTGTTCCAGTTTTGCATATCATCAGGAGTTCTTTCTGGATTCTGCAAAGAGAGACAAATTACATGGCAAGAAAATGAGGAAATATGGAAAAGAGAGCTTTGATGAATTCAGGCACTGGAAAGGAAGAAATAAGTTGTATGAACAACATTCTTTACTGAGGGGGCAAGGCATGCAAATGAGTAATGAGAAGATGCTCCCCATGAGACTTTCTACCAGGAGTTTTCCCAGTTCCTTTTCTGCCTCCAGTTGTGTAACAGCAAAAGGTGAAGACTATTTATTACCAGATGCTGGTATACAACCAGCAAGAGGGATAAAAGAAGGGTATTTTCTTGAAAGCAACAAAGCTATGAAACTGGATGCTAACTTAACAAGTTCTGTATCAAAAGACAACGGTGATAAAGTTGCAATTGAACTACTGGATAATGCAGAATGCATTCCTGAAGTTATAAATGCACAGCAGAGTATCATGTTGGTAAAATCATCTCAGGAAAATCTATCTAACAACCTAGAGAAGTTAAGCAAATCTGCAGTTCCTAAAACCTTGAAAAATAACAAGTGTGAGGACCAGGTATGCAAGAAGAAACCAGGATTCAGAATTGCTGCTGAAGTACAGGATTCAGAAGCTTGTGACAAAAAAGCTGCGAAAACCCATGTAGAGTCTTTATCTGATTTTCACAAAAAAATGGTTTCTCCTGTTTTCACGACAGTACACAATGTGTCTATATCAAGAACTGGTGGATATTCAGCAGATGAAACTGCTGGATACTATAGAAACAGTGTGCAGCAGGAAGAGGAGCAAGATGGCTCTGTTTTGAAGTACAAAGCAGAGAGAGTGCACATTACCGATGAGTCATGCAACCTTGTGGGAGCAGTCAATAAAGCTCTTCTGAAAGTTATACAGAGTGACAGTTTAGATGAAGCTGCAGAATGGAAGAGACTGAAACAAATTACAAGAGTAGACAGAAACCTGCCAGGCTCAATATATGAGAAAAGAACCACGGTATCCTGGGGAAAAAACAATCATTTATTTCTGAACTTGCCTGTAAATGAAGACCCTGATGATTCTCAGACAAGTAATAAGCTGGAAGAGAAAAAGCTACATTCACCCTCGTTACTAGCAGTGAGTAATGTTTTTAGTAATTCCTATCTACTATCTAATGCACACAAACGAATGTCACCTATTCCTTCTCCATTATCTTCAAGACTGCCTACCCCGCAGCTGCATCATCGGATTCTTCCATTACCTGCACAGAACTCTGAAGACGAACCTATGTTTGGTGACTACTGCAGTGGGAGACAAAGTGCTATAAACCTCTCTTTCAATGATTTGGAGCCACCATTTTATCTGAAGTTTTCTGAACCTGGAGAATTAGGATTTGCCATCAGACAACCATGCTTACATCAGAATGCAACTGCAGGGCAATTTGAAAAGCGCACTCTGCATGAGAGACTAACTACTCAGACAAAGCAGAATTTCTGTGCAGGTCAGTCCTATTTTATATATTTAAAAACTAATAGAGTTGATAATCCATGAAAGTGTTAGGGATTTTTTTAATACTAGCCTTTAATAATGTTTTAAATGAAAGAAAAACTACTGACTTTTGAAAACAAAAGTTGTAATTATGTATGATTTACTTTCAGATGTTTTTTTTAATCTTATTTTATTCAATGCTATTGTTAGTGAATGTGCCCTGTTAACCAAAGTTAAACAGGTATGCAGAGAGAGGAAATGCTGACCTGTAGTATTTCTCCTATCATTAACTATATATGAACTTTTAACTTACTCAGAAATATATCTGAACACAATAGCTAAGATAATCTTTAAAATTAGTTATTTTTCTGCATACAGTGTTCCTGCTATTCTTGTGTTCTAGTCTGTCAAAATGTTGTCATAGCTTTTATTGTCCAAAGCATTCTTTTTACTTTGTTCAGATTAACTGATAGAATATTGTATAAGAAAGCTAATTTACATTGCCTTAAGTATAGGACTGGTGTGACCATTTTGCTTTAAGAGGTTAATGAGACAACAGAATGCTTTGCTTTTAAAAGGACTGCATCAGGAACTATGTTACAACGCATTTGAGTGTGTGGGTGTTGGCATAAATATTTACTGTGAATATAAAAATACAAAGCTGCATACCACGTATCTGTCTTTATTAGCTAGAATTTTGTCATCTGTATCAGTCTTCTCTGAGAAATAGGAAAGCTGGAGCACTTAACTCTGTAGTAGTCTGGGTGTGGTTAGGCTGGTGTGTGTGCGTTACAGAGAGGGCTGAAAGTACAAACTGATAACATTTTTTTATAAATAAGAAAGGGGTCCCAGTCTGAAACCTTAACAGTTTTCAGGACAATTATGATAATTTTCTTTGCTCTCAAATTGAAAGGGAAACCGAGAAACATGGGGAAAAAAAAAAAAACTAACCCTCTAGTATCTGTATTTCTTAGTATTTGCTTAGACTTGAGCTTCTTGTGTGAAACATCTTTGCACTCCCAATGCTTTGTCCCTTCATAGACAATTTGGGTCTAATCCAGTACAGCTTTGGCTAATCCAGTTCAGTAAAATTGCACAAAAATTTCTCTTCTTTCCTTTTTTTTTTTTTTTTTTTGATTAAACTGGGAGATTACCTAAACTGCCTCAGAGTCAGGCCTAATAAGTATTGCTGGTGCAAGATGAGTTGTAGAATGCTGTAGATTAAAATAGATGGGAAGACAAGGCTTAAGGAGAAAGAGGCGTGTAAGAATGTGGAACTATTATCTTAGTTAAAGGGTGTTGAATACTGCCTATGCCTGCTGCTTCTAGAAGTTGCTTTGTAATTCTTGTTGCGCTCAAGGCTAAGTTAAAGTGTTGTTTGAAGAGATGACAAAGCTGATGTAAACACTTAGCAAAAAAGATGTGCTCTTGTTTCCTTTCTTCATTGGATTCTGTTGCTCTTTGTTTTACTCATTTTGTTGTTTCTGGTGTTGATCTTTTGGTGATCTGAGTTAGCCTTTAATGACTTTTTCATTTAGAATCTGTGGATGGGGAACTGTGCTTTTTTTGCTGCATTCCAAATAGGAACACATGCACACAAATAGCATCTCTTGGCTTAAAATCATAGTTAAGCAATAACATCTTAGTAAAGAGAACAAAGTGCAGAAAAAAACATTTTAGTTGTTTACAGTTACCTTACAACATTAGTGTAGATATCAAATATCTGTGCAACTTTCTTAAAGATGTAATACAAGAAAAGGAAACAAAGCAATAGCATTACAACTTGCCAGCATTATTACCCATGTGTCATGAAAGCTGTATCTTGATGGAAAAGATTCCTACTATACCACCATACATAGAATTGTAGATGTCTTTGGATCTGGGATTATATGACTTTCCCATTTTCTGAAATAGGAGTTAAATTGTCCTTACTTATAAAGCATTGGTTGTACTACTTTTCTGTAAGCTGACAGCTGTAAGTAATAGACCACAGTATAGCGAGGCAAATGAAATATCTCCATGTTATTGCCTAAACATCATGACATACAGCTGTAAATCTGCAGTCCTGATTTGCATTTTGCTAGGAAGTTCTTCATGTCCTAACATAGAGATACATTATCCTTCTTTAGCCCTGAAGTAACCAAGCTAGATTTTGAAACCATTCTCAACGCATCTGAATACATGTCTGAGTGAAAAATATTTTGAAACCTTGCTGTTCCCAACTATGCTTTTCTCTCAAATTGTGCTGATAGAGAAGTCTAGGGAGAAAATTTTCAGAACCATTTTATTAATGCAGGTTGACACCAATATGCTGTCTTACTGAGTATTATCTAAAAGAGAAGGAAGATCAGCGGTATTTTTAGTAGTTGCCTGACTCAGAACAGGAAACTTAAAAATTTCTGGGCATGTCATAGCGTCTATGAATTTAGGCAAGTCAGCTAAGACATCTCATTATTCTGGGATTGTGACCATGCTTTGAGTCAGCTGAAGATATTGGAATGGCTCATTCATCATGCTTTCTTTATATGTATTAGTGCTACTTTGTAAAAAGTATAAAAAGGAAGAGTGATGAAAGCAACAACTAATGGAGTGAATGGTGTCACCTCAATTTTCTAGCCAAGGAAGATTGACTCTTTCTGTGATACCAAGGAGAATACAGAGGAAAAAAAAACTGATTACCTCTCGAGAAACTGAACATGAGTAGAACAGAATAAGTAAGGCTAGTGCCAGGCAAAATGGCTGAGCCTGTTACCCTGAAAGGGAAAGCTCCATCTTCTTATCTTCCCCTTTCCTAGCAAAGTCCTCCTTTTTTTTTTTACCATTCACAGCATCATTGGAACAAGTCTGCTGTTTGTCTGTCTTTCCACTAATTAAAGCCAGATCATTAAACAAGTTAAAAACTAGGCCAGCAAGGAGAGAAGTTAATAACTTCTGCTAGTTGTCAACAGTTTACGGGCTGGTTCAGCCCAGTTCCATGACTAGTGGGGCAGAGGGATTTTGCAAAATCCGTGCCTCTGGAAAAAGGAGATGGGGACCCCAAAGTAATTAAAAACAGGCAACGATCTGAGGAAAAACAAAGTAATTTACTAAATATGGTACTGGAATGCAAGATAACACACCATAATACAATATAATCAGAATTGAAGCTAATAAATCAAATATAATGAAAGAGAGAATGTCCAAAAGGTGGACAGGCCTCACCATAATGCTGAGATAAGATGCACCAGTCCAATTGAGCAGCAGGGAGACAGGAGGAGAGCCAGTGAAGAAGAGCAGACGAAAAAGAGCGCATCAGGTGACCTTGCCAGAAGTTATATCTCCTATCTGGGACTGCAAAGTCCCCTGGGGAATGTAGTAGTTCTTCTCTTCTGAACAGGTACTCAGAACTTGAGCATTAATAGTTAAACTCCCAGTGCCCCACATGATGTTATGATGCAGAATACCAAAAACCAAAATTCACAAAACCATGATACTAGTTTAGTGGGTGGAATGGTTCACTAGTTGTCTGATGGAAACCAAAGCTAGTGTGAGGGAAGATCTTTAACTCTGCTATTAAGAGACAGAATAGAGAGGGGAAGAAAGACCACACCTGCTGTCAGTGAAGAATCGTTAGGTCTCCAATACACCAACTGCACAAGCAAACTTCATGCAAACTTCTTCTGGTACTGGCTAAAACTGAAGTTGTTGAGAGTCATTCATCATTCCGAAGCAGTGAATTAAATTGTGTGAGGATTCAGAACTTTCAGAGCAGTACTTAAGCTTAGTTGAGCGTTAAACAGGAAGGAAAAAAGAAGGTAAGAGAAACTGTGTAAGGGGAGCTTGAATAGACTTGGTAGGGAGTCAGACCTTGTCCAGAGTGGAGAACAGGAAGGAAATACAACAAAACAAGTGGTGTGCAGCAGGTTGTTACAGTTGACTTTTGTAGGAAAGTGCATGAAGGAATCTGTAACCATTAGGGTATTTCCATGTGTTGATGTTCAACTACTGCTCATTAGCCATGAAGAAGTCAGTATGACAATACATGGGATCTTGGTTATGTCAATTCAGATTAGATATTAGGAAAAGGTTCTTCACCAGAGGTTGATCAGACTCAGAAACAAATTCCCCAGGCAATGAACACAACTGCAATCCTGCTAGAGTTCAAAGAGCATTTGGACAACATTCTCAGATACAGTTTAAATTTTGAGTGATTTTCTGTGGAGTCAGGAGTTGGATCCTTGGGATTCTCTACTGATCGGGGATATTCTATATTTCTATGAATTTTGTAGTGGCTGAGAAAAGAAGGGAAGGAGATAGTAGTAGTAAAGTTTTTAGAAGCTACAGTGCTTATTGTGACATAAGAAAAGCATCTTAATTTCTGGAAGAGGTTGTTAAATACAACTCTATGGAGTATTTATTGTAGCTGGCTAGCAAGATAGATACCCAGTAACTCTTTGTGATATATTCTGGACATAATAGTAACTGCACCTATCCCAGCTGATGATTATATGGAGGATGTTTTGTTTACTTATTACTGCCAATGAGAATTTTATAGCAGCACTTGGTTTCCATTAGATGATAGGTTTCTGTGGACAAAATTGACAATAAGTGTTCTGAAAATTTTGCATGGCTGTCAAAAATTATGTACTGCTGTTTGAAAACGTGCCAAATGCTAATGGTTACCTCTGGGAGATCCATTTTACAGTCTTAATATACAATAAATATACTTCAACTCATAAAAGACTTCACTGCAATATGAATAAATACTTGAATAGATATTGTTCTTAAATTGGCCTAAGATCAAGAAACCTTGTATTTTAGTCTTCAAAGATTTTAAGGGAATGAAAAGTATTAAAAAAGTTTATCTTGGTACTTCACGCAGTAGCGACTGGAGGAGCAGTTTTTGTAACCATGCTTTGAAGCCTGTCCTAATCCTTCTGTCTTTCAATATCCCTTAATGTTTCCCTGGATTCATTTCTGTTTGCAGTGTAAACAAATGTAGCCTACTACTGTAGCTGTAATACTCTGATACTA